ATTATTGATTTATTTTAAGATTAATTACCCACATCAAACTAGTAGAATTTTCTTAGCTAGCATTTATGTGTTAATAGAATTTTCTTAGTTGGAGCTTATGCATGTGGCCCATATAGGCTTAGTATTAAATTATTTATAGGACTTTAACCAATATAATTGATTTATTATGACTAAACACTTTTCATTCATCATCATGATTTATTTATCGCATCAATAAATATGATGAACATATATGTCACCAAGAGTATCATCTAATAGATATATCACAACTCTATGCATAAAAATTTGATCATGAAATTTAGTAGTTTGACCATGGATGCAATTACCATATAGTTAATTCATTTCATTTATTGTATTTCAGATTAACTCAAGATATGACTTATACCAACCATTATTTAACTGAATAATTTGTATATTTCTTCTTGTACAAGAGATTGTACTTCCTTGTACGTTTTTAGTTAAATGTTATTTATATTATTTTAAAATTAATGTGTGTATATTAGTTAATTAACCAACACAGGTATTTATTCAAAAATAGACTCATAATTGTCAATGTAAAAACTAACTCGCATAAATATGACATAATTCAAGGTATTCCCAGAGATGATCATGTTCTTATCGAAGAATGATTATGTGACTTTAATATCTTGTTTTCTTATATTTAGACGTTACCTTTGTCTTTAGTTAATGAGTTAAAAATAAATTACTTAAAATATTTTCTCCTATTACAACTCTTAGAATAGCGGGTTTATTTCAACTTGAAAATAAAAATAAATGCATAGATAAAAAAATTATGTTATTATTGCACTCTTTGAAAGTACCACAACGCTACAATGAAAAGGAACATGACGAAAACCCAAATGCTAAGGCATCAGATATCTAACATAAATAAAATAAAACAAACTGCAAGCATCGTGTATACAACTCTTTTTAATTTCATCCTTCCGAGACTTAGTCAAGAAATGCACTTAGTAGAATCTTATTTTTCCATTTCCTTGAATACATATATTGGGATTATCGTTGAGCACATTAGGTATTGTGTTTTGGTCGTTTAATACATGAGGCATCATGTTTAATTTGTTCTGAATTATAATCATCTCAGCTTCTTTGGTAACTTTCTTCTTCAATTCCTCAAAAGATGTCTTTAAATGCTCAAGTTGTGAGAAACGCATTTCTTGTTTTTGACCCATCCACCAACACTTACTCTCACATATTTTTTGTATTTCCTTAAGCTCTACATTGCGATTTTTCTCGATTTCCAGTTGATTCATGACCTATTTTCATATGTTGTAAATAACAAGTACAATTCAGTATAAGTTTTAATCGAACAAAAGGAAGATCAAATAAGTATAATAAGTTTTAAAATCTAAATATGGTCTACTCAAACCTGTGTGAGGTTCATATTGAGCTCATGTATCCTTGAGTTGCAGTGAACCTCAATGAGTGTCATGGCTCCTAAAGTATCTCGTGGAGGATTACCACAAATGAAATCTTCAATCACTTTTTCAACACAAGGATGACTAAAAGAAAAAGCCTTTTTACTGGGGGAAAAAATAATAATTGCAATGTCGACGCCACAAAGAGTGGACCATTCACTAGCTTTCTTAGAAAGACCAGCTCTTCATTTTGAGAAAATTACTTGGAGGTTGATTTCGTTACTCATCTTTATCATCTCAATCTTTTGACGACCCTTGCTCTTCCTATCCATCTAAAAGTGAAAGAAAAAGACGACGTGAAGAAGAGATAAAAAAGTTGGCTTATAATTTACTAGGAAGTGATAGAAAATGGGTAGTATTTATAAGAGTCATCAGATTGACATTATTATTTTCCACTATGCAACATCAAACATTATTTAAATGGATTTTCTATATAAAAGTTTTAATCTTTAATTACTTACTCATTGGGATTCATCAAATTGGAAATTTTTATTTTGTACTATCCAACAAATAACTTTATTTATAAATTTATTAGCTTTAATTACTTATTCATTTAGAGTCAACAGATTAGACATTATCATTTTGCACTATCGAATATATAACTTGATTTAGATTAATTTTCTATATAAATTTCTTAGCTTTAATTACTTATTCATTTGGAGCAGATTGCGTATTATCATTTTGCACCATCTAATATATAAACTGACTTATAAAATTTAATTACTTATTTATTGGGAATTATTAGGTTGGACATTATTATTTTGCACTATTCTATATATAACTTGATTGAGAGAGATTTTCTATATAAATTTTTTAGCTTTAATTACTTCCTCATTGGGAGTTACCAGGTTAAGGATCTTCATTTTTCACCATCAAACATATAATCTGATTTAGATGGATTTTCTATATAAATTTTTTACTTTAATTACTTACTCATTTAGAGTCATTAGGTTTGACATTATTATGTTGCACTATCTAATATATAACTTGATTTAAATAGATTTTTTGCATAAATTTCTTAGTTTTAATTACTTGCTCATTTGGAGTCACAAGATTGAGCATTATCATTATACACCATCCAACATATAGCTTGAGTTAGGTGGATTTTTTGTATAAAATTTTTAACTTTAATTACGTATTCATTTGGAATCATCAGGCTATGCATTATCATTTTACACTATTCAACCTATAGTTTGAGTTAGGCAGATTTTCTATAAAAATTTCTTAAATTAATTACTTACTTATTTGGTGTTACCAGATTGACTTTATCATTTTGCACTATCCAACATATTGCTTGAGTCAGGTGAATTTTTTTTATAAATTTTTTTAACTTTAATTACTTACTCATTTGGAGTCACTAAGTTTGACATTATCATTTTGCACTATCCAATACATAATTTAATTTAGACGAATTTTCTATACAAATTTATTAGCTTTAATAACTTACTTGTTTGGAATCATCAAGTTGGAAATTATCACTTTTCACTATCCAACACAACTTGATTTAGATGAATTTTTTATATAATTTTTTTTTGGTTTTGATGACTTACTCGTTCCGAGTCACCAAGTTGGGCATTTTTATTTTATTTTGTTCAATATATAATTTGATTTAGACGAATTTTCTTTGTAAATATATCGACTTTAAAGACTTATTTGTTTGGAATGCTTTACAATCACCTCATTGAAATATATAGTAAAAAAATCTTGAAAATTGATATAATATTACCTTTAAGTTATACGAATTTACCATTTCCAAATCATCATTGCTTGTAGAATGAAATGAGATGAATATTCTTAGAAATAGTTATTAGCAGCTACATTTTCTTTCTTATCAAATTTGACAAGATAATGAAAATAGTGTCAACATCTATGCACGGATAAATAAAATTTGAAGAACAGATCCCAATACACAGTATTATATAATTACCAACCTATTTCCTAATATATATATATATATATATATCAAATTTGGGAAGATAATGAAAATATTTTTGATGTTTCTCCATACATGAATAATAAGTTAGTCAACAAAAATTACAAACTTGGTAATAAAATTATAGCGAATATTGCGAAACCACCATGAAGTTTAACATGTTATATATAAAAAGAAATTAAAATTATAAAAAAATCCCAAAGTACTGAATATCATACAATTACTAACCTACTAATTATTTTAATAACAATTTTCCTCTTTTCAACCTTAGCCATAAAAGGTTTTGATGAAGCTTCCATATAAAACTATTCCAATTTGGCTCAATTCTTCACTATGGTGAGTTGTCTTTCATAGTATGTTATCTTTCTTGATGCTTTTGATGATTGCTCATCTTCTCTATTAATCTTCTCTACATTGATTCAAAATGATATATACTCTATTTGAATTCATAGGGACTTAAAAGTGTTTCCACGAGAGATATTTTAGTCAGAATTTTAGGATTATCTAACTAAATTTTTATGTTTGCTTTTTCATTAATCTCGTCATTCTTCCCAATAAATTTGCAACAAAATGAAAGGATTTAGATAGTCATGTTTTTAATCGAATATTCTCAATTGGAATTAATATTTTCTTGAAGGAATCTGTCTTCGAGAGCTTTCCAAAGAAATTGGGGTTCCTCCCAATTTTCATCATAAGTAGTAGTTATGCTAATGAAAAAGCACAATATGTTTTATAAAAATTTTATAAATATAGAACATGGTTGTAATTTTTCAATTAATTTTTTCAATCTGAGATATTATTTTAACAACACTCGATTATTTATAATTTATTAAAATATCATATTTTTAGTATAAACTATAACACGTTGCATAGTAAATTTATTAAGTACGCATAGATATTTTAATATAACGTGCACTTGAATCCGTATTTGCATAATGCATTTTTAATTTACTATTTATTTTTACTTTCATTGCCATGTATTTCTTAAAATTTTTTATTAAATAAGAATAAGTTAATTGTGTTTTACTTTCGAAGTTGATCTATATATATCCACTATATATCTTCTCCACAAGCTATATATTCTATTTTCCATTGGATTATTACAGCCATTACGCACCATACATCTGTTTTAACAGTAGATCGGTAAACAATTAATATTTCATGGATGATTTTTCAAGAACCTGCCACCCCATATAACATCTAATAGAACATATTGGATATGTAAATACAAATTCATTTTGATTCTTTGTATCTGTTGTTTCTCTCTCTCTCTCTCTCGCTCGCTCTCTCTTTTGGGGTGAAATCTAAGCCCTAATGTGTATTAAGCAGTGCACGTCTATATAAGATTTATAATGCATGCATAGCATATAGTACTGTAAAATTAGAGTTAAGATGAAAGCAAATAGATCTTTTATTTATAAAATATATCACTTTACATTCCATTGATAATATAACTTAAATATGAAAGTCAAACTGTATGAGCACTCTGTGACCTTACTAATCAAAACACATTCCCACAAATTTCAAATTTAGAAAAACTCCTACCCGTTTCCACCATTATTCTGAGTCATATTATATCCTGTAGCTGGCATCATGTTCACATTGTTAAGACCGTTGGTATACATCAAGTTTTAATCGTTGATCGCATCCGATGCCCCCACCATCATGTTCTGGTCATTGTTCATCATCATATGATCGGCTGGAACCAAGTTTTGATCATTGTTGATCATCAGATTTGCCGCCGGTAGCATCATGTTTGTAGGGTTACTGCTGATAGGCATGACATTAGAGACCATGTTTGGATTATTGGGAATCATGGAATTGGACAAGGGAATGTTTGGATTATTGTTGTTGAGCATGTCACGAAGTATCTTCATATAAGCTGCAGGATTAACCATGTTAGGATTAATCATGCTGGGACTAATCACGTTTGGATTAACCTTGTTTGAATTAACCCTATTCTTGTTCGGATTAACCATGTTTATGGGACAACCGATAGCATTTAAGGGGATAGATTCAAATGGAAGTCCAGTTCCATTGGAAAAGCTTCCAAGAAAAAGTTGATCATCAGAATTAGGATTAATATTGTTCTCTTCAGCATCATTTTCTTTGGCGACTTTTATAACATTCTCGTATAATTCCTCAAGAGCAGCTTGAAATTGCTGAAGCTGTGAAAGGTTCATGTCATCTATGGATCCCACCCATCAGGCTTTACTTGTATTCTCCTTCATCACCTTCTTAAGCTCCACACTTCACTTCTTTTTAGCATCCAGTTGGGCATTAAGCTTTAATTATATATAATCATGTCCAAAAAAAATTCAAGAATTAGTTATAAAAATCAAATAGTATAGATATATGAAGACATTGTAGTGATTATACATCTGTTAGCTGAATGATGTTGTTCTATTGGGCCACTGAATCGATTGATCAACTTTTCCACAGAAGGACTGACAAAAAAGAACACTTTCTTAGCAGGTGAAAAAATAATCACTGCAATTTCGGCGCCACAAAGCGTACTAATTTCACTCGCCTTCTTGAAAATGCCAGCCCGGCATTTGGCAAAGGTAACTTGGAGGTTCGTCGCCTTCTTGATCTTCACCATCTCAATCATTTGGGGGCCCTTTAACTTCTTAGGAGGCTCCATGGATAAATTTAGCACGAATTAAAAGATTAATTTATGATTTGAATGATTGAATAAGGATGAAGTAGAATGAAGTATATTTATAGACTACTCAATTTGACAGTTACAATTTTTAAGTATTCCTGCATTTAAATTAACTGTCTTAATTACTTACTCCTTTAGGATTTTGTAATAATGGAGAGAATATAATTTAACTAATTTAGAGTAGTCTAAATAAATGCACTTGAAGTTTTTATAATCTTTCTTAAATAATCTGACATAGAGCTTCTAAGATATTCTTTTTATTTGACTAAAAATAATTGATTGAATTATCTTTTTTAATGAACATTGACTTAAATGAAATCTCTCGCGTCATTCAAATTTTATTATGTGCTTAGTATATAAATAGCAAAATGCTTATAAATTTTAACATATTATTACATATGTAATTTATTTTTCCTAATTGCGATGAGTATACTATATTTTCCTTTCAGATAATAGAATTTAAAAGTATTTCGCCATAGTTAAGAGAATGATAAATCTTTAATTTACTAAGTTTTGTATGTTGAATATTATATACGTAAATAACCTATTATAATTCTTTTTGAAAATATAATAGATCCTGACGAGTTAAATAGTTCATAACCTCTTTCACATTATTTATTATTTTGAATATTAAAATTTAAAAATAATATATTTAAGAGAATGATCGATCTTTCAATCTATTGCATTTTGGATAGCTTATAATTTTTTTTAAAAGATATATACATTATAAATTATATCTATCATATAATTTATTACATTTAACTGTAATGAGAATACTATATTGTCCTTTTGAATATCTATATTGAAACTAATATATATGAGAATGACAGATATAATTTTTCATAATAAATTATTTACATATTTTTTAATAATAACAAAAGCATTCTCATTTTAACATTCGGATATTGAGACTAAACGTCAATTGAATTATTTTACATTATATCAGTGAATTCAGAATTTTTAATACAATCACAAAATCCAAACTCATATTAAAGATTTTTAAAAACTATAATTTGAATTTGATTTAGAATCATAACTCTTTTCCAATTCAGATATATGGTATTTGTATTGTAATTTAAATTAAATACAAGTTAAAATTATACAAACTCTTAAGCATGCTACCAAATTAAATATATACTAAGGATTTATATATTTCCATATAATGGAATAGGGAAGCGAAATGAGTATGCGGAATAATCTTTTACCTTTTTTCTTCAAAGTCACAGATTTACACGTACATATATTTATATATAATGTAATAATTAACTTTCTAAAAATAATAAATTTATTACGTACTTAAAGAGCTTCAATATTTTCATATACTCAGTGTGTTGATACCAAATTTTAAACTCTTTTAAATCTCTCGAGATATAGTTTACAATAAATGCGAGATAACTGACTACTGTATATACATATATATACATATATATACATATACACACATATATATAAAGAGACGGAACTATCATATAAATGTACTTTATAGGGTGATTATAGAAGATTAAATATTTTTAAAAATTTGCGGAATTGTACTTAACAAGAATGTAAAATAAACAACACTCATGAAACACACATATACTTATTACCTCGATCCAAGACAAACAACGACAACATTTATAAAGAAAAAAAAAACACACACACGCACACACACAAGAACACCACCTGAAAGTAAGCAAATACAAAACTCAAGCCAATTGAAATCCCAAATTTCCAAAGCATTATTTGAAAGACAAGACAAACAAAAACAAAAGACACGATAGTGAAAATCTTTAAACTAGCCCTTGATTCCTTTCAAGATAATCAACAAACTTAGTCATTAAAATCCTTGGCCGCTTCTTAGAACATTCCCTGCAAGAGGAGGCGGCATTGTTTTCGGATTATCACCGTTAGCCGCCTCATTTGGATTGTCCACAATGAAGTTCTCATCATCCAATGGATCCGCAAACAGCATCTCTAGAGTGAAGCCATCAAATACTGAGTGTAGATTTGAATCATCTGGCACAATACGTATCATATTTAGAGCATTGGATGTTGAACTAATTGGATCATTTGGTGTATGAGGCATAGTACTCGGATTAAAAAACTCATTAGGCCCGATATTTGGATCATTTGATAGATTAATATCCATTGTTGCAATTTGGTTCCCGAAGGCATCAGACATTATGTCTGGATTATCTCCTGCATTAAGTGCTGCAATTGGATCATCTGACTCAATCATGACTAAATTATTGAAGAGATCCCTAGGCATGGCCTTCAAGTCATCAACAGGATCTAACGCCATGCATGAATCATTCAACGAGTTATTCATCATCATTATGGTTGGATTGCCAGAGTCTAGGTTACAGAATCTACTCAGGGGAGGAGTTGAATTAGTACTGCTGGGGGCATATTCATGAGTTGGGTTGCTGGGCATACTAGGCATGGGGAGAGTAATCAAGGCCTTCATTGCTGGATCTGAGTAAAACATCCCGTCATCCCTTGGAGAACCCTCAGCTGAACTCGAGTTACCTTGTTCCTTCTTTAGCTTCTTTGCAAGTTCGGAAACATCATTCCACAAGGCCTTCATACCAGCATCGAAAACTTCAAGCTCTTCCAAGCTGAATTTGTCCATTGAATGCGTATACCAAAGCTCTTTCTTCAATCCTTTTCTTCTTTGTTTGAGCTCTTTACCTCGCTTCCTTGCTGCCTCCTCCTTTTCTTGAGCCTATTATCATATATACATATTCATGTATTTGCAATATTAGATAAGCAATTAGGCTAAAGATTTGAAAGTCCAACAAAAAATTCAAAATATATGACGTTACATCATAGATTTAAGTATTATTGACTCATGACAATTTTTAGATTATCATAAATGGATATTATAAAAAAAGATAACAAATAAGTTGCTAACACCTCATTGATCCTACTGATTATTTGTTGAGTATCGTTGTCGTTGTCAGGATCTTAACTGGACGAACATCAATACTAAGAAAACGATCAATCACAATATCGATATTAGGATTGCCATAGCAGAAGGCCCTATTTCCAGGGGAGAAAACAATAAGGCAAACATCTGGTCTACAAAGAGTGCAAAGTTCACTCGCCTTCTTGAAAAGGCTACTTCGATGTTTTGAGAAAGTAACTTGGAGACTGGCTTCATTCTCCATCTTTTTTAACTCGATCTTTTGATGACCTTTACTTTTACTTGATGTCCCCTCATTTGCCATTGCTAAAACTGAAAATAACAAAAGATAACCTCGGCAAATTGAGAAGAAGATAATGGAGATTATGATGAGAAGATGTAAGTATACTATTATTGCAATTGACGATTGTAAACTACGCAAGGTATTTATAAGTTTGGAGGTACCACTTGAGGCTATCCAAGTTGAGTTAGGTGGATTTACTTAACTTTTATGCATTTACATTTCTGGCTAGAATCCTTTTTTCATTAAAATATAAGGTAAGGAATATCTTGACATAATCCAAAACTTAAATTTCTGATACTATCAAGAATTCTTTACCTTTCTTACTAGTACATAGTAAAACATTCATTTATGAATTTTGATTTGCTTACATCTCAAGGAAAAAACTTATTCTTCATTTGTCAATGATCGTATGAGCACGACGATCTTGGAATATAAAAATAGAAAGTTTAGAGGGATTTTGAGGAAAAATGAGTCTAAGAGACTTTTGATGGATAATACCTAAGTTTAGGGGGAGTTTAAGAGATGAGATAGGAAATTGATTACATTTGCATTTCATAGTTTTCAAATAAAAAGATTAAAAAAAAAAGTTTTACATCTTTACTTGATTGTTTGATTATATGTTGCATGCCTATCATGTAACTTGTTTCTTATACTTACTGAGCGCGTTAAAATTGTTTATCTCATTAAATTATCATCTTACCATATCAAGAGGATTTGATTGTAGATTAGGAGGATCTTACCCCTGAACTGGATCGAGAAGAAACTGTTTGAGCACCCATGATGGAAATTATATTTTGTAACCAGACGGATATCTATTTTATCTTAACTCTGTTACACGAATCTCGTGTATTGTAAATAATATTGCAATGTGGTCAAAAGATAAATTATGAATATTTTGAATCTATAAATATTTTGTTAAGTAAATTTTTATTGTATATCTAGTGTTTGACGACTATAATCATTTTAAGGGATAGCAGAGACGTCACAATCAGTCACCACTAATTCATAATATAGTTATAAAGCGGCATTTTATTACATTTTAAATGATATTCAAACTCGTAATTTTTAAATATAATACGAATATTTTAATTATTGTAAGATTTTGTTGCTATGAATGATGCTAAATAAAATTATAAAATAAAAGTTGCACTAAATGTATACAAATATTCACAACAATAATTTATGTGTATCCTATTTGTTATAGGATAATTTTCATAGTTACTCTAATAAATTAAATGCAATTATAAACAAATGTCTTTTGTTCTATTTTATTAAAGAACAAATTTTTATTAGTAATTTATCAACCAATTGTTTTAAACAAAAATTGATAACCTAATAATCATATCAAAGGATTATTAAGTGATCATCCAATTATTGTACACTATCAAAATTTATTGTAACGGCCCAGAACTTGAAATGAAATAAATTATAAATTTGAATGCGGAAGTGAAATAATAGTGTTAGGGTTTACATTTCTTACACAAAAATTCTGAATACACAATAGGACTACAGGAATTACCCTTCTAAAAGAACAACGGAAAATCAAAGAAATAAATTGAAAAGTAAACAATTGAACATCCTATTCGCAACCCTCCTGTGGATCGGGATCTGGATCTTAGTTCTCTTGATCTGAAATTGTTAATGAAAGAGTGAGCTACACCAACCTAGTAAGAATATCACGCCACTCACTTGATACAAAAAATGAAGGTTGGTAAAAATCATGAAAACCACTAATGAAGCTCTTAATTTAAGTAAATTCATTTATCATAAATAAATTATTTATTATACACC